TTTCTCTCTATAATTTAACTGTAAAATGGGCACCTGTCCAACGCGGCCGCGGCCAACATATTTTAACTCACAATCCTTATCACACTAAGCAATAACATCTGTCTTAGATGGCCACCTTAGTGGCTCAATTACGTTTCGTCATTAATTGTGCACTGGCCCCTGGCGTTGTGGGCGAGCCGTCATAATCCTATCACCTGTTTGTTGTTAGGTAGTCCCTCCAACCGATCATGTTGCGTAGGCCCCTCCCACTGTTGACCAATAGGTAACTAATATTCAACTACTGGTGAGGTAAGCGTGTGATCCCCCATAACCCATAAGCCGCGCCCTGAACTAATACGCAAATTGTAAGTGAGATGAGTGGTCACTGTTACATGTTTACCCAGTCTGTAACAAAGTAACAATAGACAGAAGCATCGCTCGTTCTCCGAGTGGTGGCGACACTTGTGTTTGATTTACCATAGCACTCTATCTTCCTTGTCTGACACTTTTCGTTTTATTGTCACCCTTGCACAAAAGCAGCAACAAATATTTTCAAAAAGCCCAGCGAAAACAACAACAACAACAATAACAACTACAGCAACAGCAATGCGGCTACCTTCGATTGGGACCTCAGAAAGGAAGGGTTTGTTTTCTTCATCTTGATCAGTCCTATCTAAGATGGCCACCTGCCTTATACGACCATTTTTCTTCTTGACAATGGGTAGCCGTCTTACACAGGTTCGACTGTATCAACATATTTTCCAATTACAAAATTTTTCCTTCAATATCTTCACTAAACTACTTCTGTTATATTGACTTTTTTTTTTGCCCACTCTGCTTTATCGACATGCTTCCTGGGTACCTGGCGAAGCCCACGAACTTAAATGGGGGAAAAGGCCACACTAACGGTCAACGCATTAGTTTTTCATTAAATGGGGGGGGCCGCCAAGTAGCCTATTCAACACACCAAGCTTTAGTGGTCATAGGGCCTACTACACAGTGGTATATAAACCTATCTCAGTAGCTATGATCTTTCAGATAAAGTCTTATAGCATGGAGGTATAACAGGAAAACACCTCTAAAATGTAACGTTAATTTATTTGTTTAAGTCTACGGTTGCCATAGTAACAGCCGCCCAGCTTTCATAAAAGTAAAAAGGATTTTATTTACCAACCAAATTTGTACATTGATAGATATACTCAATGCAAAATTCTATTCAGTTGGGATCTTGGATATCTTGAATAGGAAAAAAGTTAGAGATGGATAACTGACCTACCCCTTCATGCCCCTGAATTTGATGACATAACCATCCATGTAACTCACGTATGAATGCATCTATTTAATTTTCCACCGGTATAAAGTTAGATTATGGAATTAATTTACTAGCCCTGAAAATTTCATTAGAATTAAAAAAGAAAATAAAAACAAA